GATGGCATGTTCAGCATGAACACTGGATGTGAGCACTTAGGATGCGGGGAGAAAAGAAGAAGAGGAGAATGCTGGAAATTCCCTCTACCACTGGAATGAAGGGAGCTCACCATAGCCCTTGGCCTGAAATGGGTGCATGACAATGGCAAATCATAACTTTGTTCTCACAGAATCTCCAGGCCACTTACTCCTTTAGCTGCTTGGTTAACTTTACCACCTGTGAGGCTAGTGACATGCAGGTCTCGACCACCACCAGGTACCGGGAGCACAGGGTGTGCCCCTGACGTTCAGCGCTCTGGGAGGGCTTTTCCCCAGCGTGATTCTGCATGGTGACGTTTGCTCCATACTCTACCAGGGTCTGTCAGAAAATGCAGAAACATGAAATTGTATCAGGTCCTCCATCTAAACATTTTTTAATGACTGTAACAGGATCAGGAAAGGACTCCTGTTATTCCAAAGCCAGTTATCAGAGCCCATGGAATTGGGAGTGATGATTCCAACACCTAGAAAAGAGAGCCGCTGGAGCCCATTTAGGGTTGAAGTCTGCCTCCTCTCTTCAGAGCCTACAAAGGTGGAGCTGGACCCATCCTACTACCCAACCCCACTGTACCCTAAGGGGGAGAGGTCTGGGAAATGGAGGAGGCTGTTGCTGTCCATAGAGCCCTTTCCTTCCTTATAGGAGGTATAATGAGAGGTATAATGTTTGTGGTGGTTGGGCTCCAAAGGAATTGTTCATAAACTCAGAGATGCCTGTAAGATAGGGGGAATGAAATTCTGCTTATCTGTTCCTATTTGCTTGTGTTTTGATAGCTGGTTTTGTAACAACCCTTATTGATCTCTTGCTGAGCCCACCTGATCAGAATAAAAAGGACTGAAGAGATGGCATGGCAGAGATTGGGGAAGCTATGAAGCAGCCCAGACCCTTACCATGTGTTATGGCCAGGATGTGTTTGTGGACTGAGCAGACTTTGTAGAAGGGAGCTTGGTGGGAACTTGCTTTCGGCATCCCCCACTCACACACAAAAGGAGAGGGTTCTCCAGAAGCATTTGACAGTGGATTGCCCCATAGATTGAAGAAATTTATAGGAGAGGATGAGGCAAAGTGGGGGGCCAGGACTCCTATGTCAGGTACTGGTGGGGAAGACCCCACCACAGCACCCATCAGACAGATGTCATCTGAGGGTTGTCATAGAGCATGTCAGTAATCACAGCCAAAGAAGCAGTGACAACTTTCAGGGAGGACATGGCCTTTCCTAGTTAAGCAAAGAGACAATTGACTTTTTTTCTCTCCATACCTTCTCTTTGTTTTTGATACTGCAGCCTGGAAGACAGAGGGGAGCAGGAGCTAAAGCGGTGTGTTAAAAGCAGATCAAGCCTCACTCCTCTTCCTACATCCTTAATCTGGCTGGGGGTGGGGCTGGGAAAATGCTTTGAATCAGAAATAAGAATGAGGTTTTAAGCTGGTCTGAAGTAAATTTTAATAGTCAAAGGCAAGCCTAAAGCTATGGAATCTGGTCAAGGTATCAAGAGTAGAGGAGGAGATTTGATGCACTGTGGCAGAAATCAATACTTTAAAAGCATGAAAATTTTATTTAGTTTCTATTTATACTGTGATGTCATTAGACTCCACACAGAAAAGTTGTCACATCAATATTAATTAACCACCACAATCTGATATATTCTTTGATAGTTCATGGTGGGATTGCAAACCTCTAGATTTATTTTGGTAGTAATGTTTTTTTTCCCCACACACAATCCATCTATTTAAATTCTTAGGCTACTTAAATCTCAAAGAGCATTAAGGAGCTTCTTTTTCCTTTTGGTTTATGATCACTCACCATGAAAGGTCAAATTGCTATAAAGCCATTGCCACCTTCCTCACAGGGGTGTCCCAGAGACCCTGTCAGCATCGAGCTCTCCAGGAGACTGAGTATAAACACACACTGTTATTACTCCCCTGGACTCTGACCTCTGCAGTTTTATTTCCACTGTTTTCCTTCCTCAGTCCCCTCCTCACTGCATAAGGTCCCTTGCTCGCTCTCAGTCTCGTTTTCTTTTAAATCTCACACCCAGCGGACAGACCAAGGTTATCCAAGTTTCCACATCCATTGTATCTAGCGCCAAAAACATCATTTGTGTTAAGTGGAATGATGAACGCTCTGGAAGGACTGACAGCCTCCCTTCACGTGTTAAAAAAAAAAAAAAATAGGCCCACATCTGTAATGCCAGCGGCTTGGGAGGCTGAGGCAGGAAGATCGGGAGTTCAAAGCCAGCCTCAGCAAAATCGAGGTGCTAATAAGCAACTCTGTGAGACCCTGTCTCTAAATAAAATACAAAACAGGACTTGGGATGTGGCTCAGTGGTTGAGTGTCCCTGAGTTCAATCTCCAGAACCCCTTCCCCCTATCAAAAAAACAAACAAACTAGCATCTTACATAGAATTAGTGATAGCAGCTGGATGTCTTTGGCTTTCAGTTATTAGTACAAGCTGATAAAAAGTTTATTCCAAGACTATTTAACATTAGAGTATCTTGTGAAAGGGAAATATATGATTTTCAGTGTTCATTCAATTATCTTTTTGCCACAAAAAAAATAATGTTACTCCTTTAATCTTTTTGCAGATGTTGGGAAGAATTTAAATTTCTTTCCTTTATATACTTTCCAGTTTCTTACCACTCCTTTTATAAACTGGTGTCTGGTGCCTTTAATTAGAAGATGTGTGTTTTGCCAACAATAATGGGAAAATGTTCAGACACTTTATTTCCTATCAAGTCAGTTCTTCAAAGAGCAGTTTCATGTGAGTACAAAATATAGTAAGCTTTCTGCTGGATCTCTGCTTTTGTTTTTATTATTAATCCCCTTTTTATATTCAAAGTTTTTCTGTGTAGTCTTCTATTATTTCCTGAGTCCTCTCTACTTTCCTGAGTAAAAGGTTCTCACTGCTTACTTTTCTATTTCAAATACAGCCTAACCTGCACACAGTAGGGCATCAACAAGTATCTGTTGAATAAATGAATACACAGGGTTTGCAATAAAGGAAATAATGCATACATAATCCAAAAGGAGTGCTGCTTTGTAGAGGTGGAAAATATGTTACATGTTACAAGCACATCACATTTTGAACTATATGAAATCGCTGAGGTGGAAATACTTTCTCCAGTCATGGCTTTCAACCATGTGTTGTCAATTTCCCTTTCCCTGAGATGTGGGGGAGAAAAAAAAAATCCACAAATGTTCAGGCATTTTCAATGATAAGAATGGTCTGATTGGCCTGATCCTGGTAACTATAATTTATTGTCAAAAATAAAATTTCAGGCCAAACCTAAACTTCAACTTTGTCTGCCAAAGTCTTTGCTGTCCCTATACTGCTGCTCCTCGCCCACCTGTTCCTCTCCTCCTCCTTAGGTCACCCTCTCTCTTTCTTCTGTCCCTGAGGGACTTCAACATTTTCCAGGTGGAAAGTTCTATCCGGTTTCACATGCATTCTCCCCCCACCTTCTGGGACCTGAATGGCTCTCAGTGCCATGTGGCAAGTGACTCAGCTTTGGGCAGCTCTGTATTCTGTGGCATGATGAGATACCATTGCCTCTTCCTGCAGAAACCCATGCTCCTGGAGGGCTCCTCATGTGGACTGGAGCAGGCAGAAGAGCCTCCCTCCCCTCTCCTGTGGCTCTGCTCCTCAGTATTTTAACATCATCTCACACATTGAACATGAGAACATTTGGAAGGGATGCTGAGCTCAAAGCATGAGGCTGCTTGAGGCCTCTGGGTGGAATGGTTAGCCGACCGAGGCCCTGCCTAAGGTCCAAGAGGATCAGAACAAGGGGAAAAGCCCTACAAGACCGAGGATTTTTTAGTCTCTCAAGTGGACTTCTGTTGTCCTCATTAGTGCATCTCTCCTCCCCAGGTATGTGGAAAATAGGACAGATTTTCCAGAAATATATTAGAAGGATTCTTCCTAGTAGGGAGCAGTAGTCTAGCAAGAATGTGCTGTGTTTTCCCCCTTTCTCTAAAGTAAGGCTGAACTTCTCAAATGCATTCAAAGAGGCTCAGGTTTAGTTAGGAGTCCAAAAACATGGATATAT